GGGGGGGGGGTGGGGAATTCTGGGAGTTGAAGTCCACTCATCTTAAAGTGGCCAAGTTTGGACAACACTGCCTTAAAGAATAACAATAACATTGCACTGGAACTTAACTAGATTGTTTTGGTAGGGCAAGGTTCAATACTCATATCATCTTCCCCCTAGTAGCTCAGGCCCCTTCCCAAGCACACTGGTTAAAATCTCATGTACATGTTTTTATTTTATAAGGGAACATAAATTTAAAATCAGCAAACTCTCTAACCAGAAGATGCGTCTATTAGTAACACCTTAGTTACAGTTACAAGTAACACTTAACTACTAAGTGTGATAGGCACTGAAAAAATTCTTTCCTCACAAGCAAATTACCTTGAGAGAAAACTACAGCATTTACTGGTATATTATTATACCAGTACATATATAATAATAATATTAGCACTAAGTACATTAAATGGATAAATGGCTGGATGAGTTGAATCTGCAAAGGAACAGTTCCAGCCTCAAAGAGCAAGGTTTGTACAGTTATACAACAGGAAATGGATATCTATTGTGTTTAATTAAAATCTTAGAGAAGCTAAGTTTCATTTTATTTTATGAAAGAAAACCTAAAAGGGAGAAAAATTCAGCTGAATTATAAGACTAAATAAATTGGTAATAGATTTACAAATCTATCTGCTGCTGTTTAAATTTAGGTTAATCTTTGCTATTAATGGAAAAGTGTCTGTATATCAATCCAGCAGAAAAAAACTGTCAACAAGTACTTACTTCTATTTTATTAATTTGTGTAGTGATTTCCAAACAGACAATGCCATCATTCACTTTATTTCCAGAAAAGAAAAGCTGTGCATATTTCCTCAATTGGTCCCTCTCTAGTGGTAATATCCAGGCTAAAGAATCCTGGTTATGAAGGCTGTGTTGAATGCCTAGAAATCTTCAAATGTCAGCTGCATAACTATTATATTCCAGCACTCACTTGCTTTGGTATACATATAATCCTTTAGGTATATACCTAGCAGACAGTCCCAGTGGGAGCAATAGTATTACTGTCAGATAAATGAATAAGGGATTGCCATCTTAATCTGATTTAAAAAGGGAGGCTCACAATATGATTTGCACCTGTTATTGTTCCTGGAATGCAGAGACAGCCTTGGTCAAGAAATGTCTTTTCCCTGCAAGGGCCTCTATGTCAGCTATACCTCTTGTTAGCAAATTCAGATTTGACAAGGATGACAAACGCCTCAGGGGGAACAACATGGTGGTTTGCCTTTGAAAGGTATTCAGAAATTACGATTGTCTCAGAATGTAGCAGTCCCATTATTAATAGCAGTTGCATACTGACTTTGCCGAGGAAAGGCTGTGTTGGTTCTTTTTTCTTTGTGAATGCAACCTACAATCCCTGAAGTATTTGGGAAGAACCAGTCTACTTACTGAGATCATCTTTGGAAGGCTTCGGCTATTTTCAAACAATTCAGATACATTCAGAATGTAGATTTTCATGGCTACTATTTACTTGTGAAATGACTTCTGGAGGTATGTATAATGCCATGTGAGACAATAAATATTCATCGTCTCACATGAAATTATTCTATGTCATTTCACCAATCCAGATTTATGCTTAATTAAGGCAATCCTTTTCTTTCCAGTGCCTGTGTAATTCTCTTCCAACTCTCACTTCCTCACTGAATCTTTCAAATTTTTAGTAATAAGGAAAGGGTTACACACACACACACACACACACACACAAAATTTATATCTGCAACTTTTTGTAAAGAGGTAGAAAACAGTATTTTATTAAGAGTTCTTGTATTTTATTTTTTAGATTGCACAAGTTTTTATAACATTAAAAAAAGATTTTTTTTTCCTGGCACCAAATCCTTTCTTTCCCTTTCATAAGTTGTAAGAGCACACAATTGCATGTGAATGATTTTTTTTTTAAAAAAAAATCTTATAAAAATGAAGGTTATTTGTAAGAGTGTGACATTAGTGCATTACCCAGAACTAGTAAAATTGCTGCAAGGTATTAATAAATGCAACTAAAGTACATGAATGGTAGAAATTGTGAGCTATTTTATGGTGTTTTTTTTTTTTAGCTTATTTCTCATTCACAGTTTACATCAGCACCAGCATGACCTAACAACCACAAAGTTTTGTCCTTGGTCATGTAGCACCTGTCTTGTCTTGTTCCATTCCCATATTTTATGCTAGCTTATGTTGATCATACAAATATTGGAAAACAACCAGTTTTTCTAGCCTAATCAGAACAAAAGCAAAGTGTATGTATTTTGTTATGCTTCCTCCCCAACCTTTAGGGGAGCTATGCTAATGTGAGCAACTCAATTTTGTTAGTCCTTTGTAGACTCTGATAGAGGTGACTCTATTTTAGGTGCAGGCAGCCATATTCAGCAGCCAACCAACATTTGAATCGTCCACCTGGAGCACCTGATGGACACTACTGGGTTCCAGAGGAAGCTTGGGGTTTTTCCTGGGGCTGTGGTAGATGGTTTGACTGAAGCTTTTAGTTGCCACTTGGAATGAGAGGGAATTTTGGCCTTGGATCACATCATACCTATATGGCTTTTCTATGCTTGTGAATCTTGGAGGGCCCCCTGGTTTTCAGAAGTGCTCCAAGTGATGAAACAGCATAAGATGCCTAGAATGCTGCTGGAGGAAAACAAAGAGTGAGCATAGAGAAGACATAAGGATTACCTTGTGGCAACAAGGGCAGCAAAACATAGTCATTTCTTATTGCCTTTATTGTATCTGCAGAAAGCCAGCCAATGGCTCTGTTCAGGGTTAACCCAGTGCCTCCTGGGTAAGGAAGGACCATGGCAATTCTTGCAGGGCTCTGTGGAGAATATTTAGGTACCTGTCATATTAAGTCACTTCAATTTGCTCAGAGTTGGAATCCAGCAGTACAGGTCTGAGAAGTTGCCTGAGCCATTGTCTTGGCCTATTATCTGGGAAGAGGTTGAACCTCTTAGCTCAGATGAAATGGACACGGTCCTCTGAGCTGTGAGCTTGGCCACCTATGTCTTAAATCCCTCTCCCTCCTGGTTGAATAAGATCTCCCAGGAGATAAAAGGTGGTAGGGTCCACATGGTGGTGAATGCTTCTCTGCAAGAGGAGGTGGTTCCATCTGCCTTGAAGGATGAATTGTCCTCCCCCTCCTTCAGAGACCATAACTGGACCTAGCAGATCTGGAAAAGGGAAGACTGTTGCACTTACAACTCCAGAGGGCACTGGAAGAAGCAGATTATCTGGACCCCTTTCAGTCAGGGGCCAGGTCTGGTTGTAGTACTGAGACAGCATTGATCATACTTGTTGATGACCTCCGGTGGGCTTGGAATGGGGATAGTGCATCTGGGCTGGCTTTAGGGATTGGGAATGAGAAGCACTATACTATGGGGGGGGTTTCCTCCCTTCTCCAATCAGTTCCAATTGGTGTTATTGGGGGAAAGTTGATTCCAAAGCCCTTTGGTTTGTGGGATGCCTTACGGCTTCACTCTCTTCCTGCTCCCATTTAACATCTACAAAAATCTGCTGAGTGAGGTCACCCACTGTTATGAGATGTGGTATCATTAGTATTCTGATGCACCCAATTGTACATCTCAATCCTGGACTGACCAAGCAATATCATCCCTTTCCTTGTGCCTGGAGGTCCTTTCCTAGTGCTTGGAGGATGTGACGGTCTCTATGGGGGAAAACAGGCTTAGGTTCAGCCCTGTGGCTGTGGTTTTTAAGCCCCACCAGTTCCAAGGGTTTTCCATCTTTAACTCTGCATGGGGGTCCACTTCCCCAGAGTGTGAGTGCAATTTGAGGGTTCTCCTGGACTCTCGGCTTCTTTTAAAAGAACAGGTGGTCCTTTGCAGAAGTTTGTCTTATATACCAACTGCACCCATTCCTGGACTGGGGAGCCTAAGTCATCTCCTGTTTGGACTACTGTAACATGCAGTACATGAGGCTGTCCTTAAATAGCACTCAGAGGCTGCAGCTGGTCCAGAAAGCAATGGCATGAACACTTGTTATGCCCATATAACTCCACTGCTCTGGAAGCTGCACTGGCTCGCAGTAAGCTTCTGGTTGCACTTCAACATGCTAGTTATCACCTATAAAGCACTACATGGCAAAGGGCCCAGCTATTTGCAAGACCGCCTTCTCCCATTGTTTCTGGTCACATCATCAGATCTAATAGAGAAGGCATAATTCCAGGTCACTTCTATCAAACAATGTCATCTTGTTGGATCCTGCAGTCATGCCTTCTCAGTGGTAGTGCCTGCCCTATGAAGCAGCATCCCCTGCCCCGCCCCCGAGATTTGGATGGCCCAAGCCAATTAGCCTTTCCCTGAGTGTTTGGTCAGGAGGTTAGGTGAGCTCTGCTGTTGGTGGTGGTGGTTTTTTTGTGGGTTTTTTTTTTGTGAGTGTGGTTGTTTGGGTGCAGGGGTTGTATGTTATGATTTCATGTTTTAATTCTATAGACTACCCAAAGTCACCTGTATGTGAAGGATAGAAATATAAATCGAAGGGAGGGAGGGAGTTCAAAATGTTCCCAGTGTTACCAATGAGGACAATACACTCTGTCAACCACTCATGACAATGAATCAGGACAACATATAATTATCCTGGCAAGATTGTATATTCCTACACAAAGGCTGAGTTTTACAGATCCTAACTGATGAAAGGATCTTAATTACAGTAGAGATGGGCCAATTTGGCTTTATCAGAAATTCTTTCATACTTTCAGCTCTCACACTATCAATACATCCTGGTACCTTAGCAGAGTCAGTGATGTTGTCCCAATATGGAGAAGGAAATTCTAGTTTTCCAACCAAGATCTGATCAAAAAGATCTTCTTGAATGTTGTTCTCACTGTGGATCAAAACCAAGCAGGAAAAATTTACTATGATACTCATTATAACATTCATTATAAAAGCTAAATTACAGGATTAATTTGATATGCAATACTCTGTTCTAATTTCAGTTTTTATACAAGCTGGAATTAATTTAGTTTGAGAATAAATACAATCACTATTATTTTCATTGTGAATTATTTCTTTAAGGAAGACTTTAGTAATATCTCTGCTATTGGCTAGTCTGCAGTCCCAGATATTTCTCAGATAATGGAATACTGAATTGCTGATTACAATGAACAAATATGTAAAATGTGAAAATATAAGGAATTCAGCATGTATATCTATGACAAACTTCAAAATTAAAACTCTCTACTGCATGTAAATTGACCCTATTTATGGGGAAGTTAAGACTTTCAGTCTTTCAACTTGTGCATACAGTATCAACCAATTTCTAAGAGTAAATGAACTCTTTCCCACCCACTACCCAGGTCAATAAAGAACAGATTCATTAATAGGAAGAACTGATTAGGAATTGTAGGTGATTCCTTTTCACTGACACCTCTGTTTCAAGGAAGCTAATTTTATCACTGGAACTAATATAGGGTAGAGGTTTCCCTGCCAAACAGAATTTAAGGAAATAAAGGATTCTACTATATGGTTTATAACTGCCCATCTTAACACTGAAGAAAATTTCAAACAAAAATAAATTTAGGGTTAGGTGAAGATTCCTTGAGATCCATGGTTAAATTTTATGCTTAGGGTGAAATTTTATGCTTAGCGGTAGTCTTAGTTTTATACTTGCAGTTTGTTTGTTGACATGTTTAGAGAAAAAAAGTCCTAATGATCTAAGGTTAAATTTCTTTGAAGTTTATGCTCTTTTTTAGTGTGAAGATTAGCTTCATTTTTACAGAAAATGGTAGCCTTGTGATTTGTTAAAGTTCAGAATAAAACATTCTTTGAGAGCTATGGTGGAATTTAGTGTAATAACTTTTGGGTGAATATTTAGTCTTAGTGGCAGTCTTAGCTTCACACTGTGGTGCTTATTGAGCACTTAGGACAATTTTTTTATTGCATTAGGTGTACTGAACATTAGGATTGCGTTTCCTTTATGTCAGTGTGTTGATTAGCTTTACAGTAAATGTTTAGACTTAATGGTATTTTTCAATTTCTATTTCAGTGGAGGATTCTTTTATGGATAATATTAGGGTTAAAAATTGCTAAAATCCTTAGGGTGAACTTACATTAAGGTTAAGATTACTTGAGATCTATGGTTCAATTTAATGAGGAAGTTAGCCATAAATTGAGTTTTCATGTTTAGTGGTAATTTTAGTTTTATGCAGTGCAGCATAGAGCTAAGATGGTATGCTTAAGACAAGTTTAAATTAAAAATATATATACTGTATATATATATTGCCAATAGATTGAATTTATGGACAGGGTTAAAATAACTTGAGATCTGTGATTAAATTTATGCTGCAGGATTGCTTTCTTTGAGATTTCAACAAAACCTAACACTAACCATACATTCACTCTATGAACAATACCAATATTTTAAACTGTACTAGAGCTCAGTTAAATCTCCAGGGTAGCATTAAATTAAGACTACCGGAAACCAGAAAAACTCTGTATTCCGGTTACCTTCACATTAAATATGACATACAGTGGTACCTTGGGTTACAATCTTAATCCGTTCGGTGACTCTGGTTGCAACCCGATTTGGTCGCAACCCGAAGCAAATTTTCCCATAAGGTTCAATGTAATTACCGTTAATCTGTTCCGGCGTCCGCAGACCACGTGTCAGGGGCGGAAAAACAGCTGCGGACCACACAGGGCGGAAAAACGGCCACGGACCATGTGGCAGGGCGGAAAAATGGCCGCAGACCACGCGGCAGGGCGGAAAAACGGCTGCGGACCACGCGGCAGGGCGGAAAAACGGCCGC